AAAAATAGTTATATCATAATTCATCTTGTTCTGTCATAATGATTACATTCATTTACATATTCATACAGAAGAAGGCACTTTCAAATGCAGTACATCCAAGTGTTTATTGGTAAAAATAGTTAAAACCACTTACAAAGGATGATAAGGCTCAGACATATAGAATGTCAATGCAGGGCTCCTGTCACTGTTTCCTGGAGCTTACTGTGCAGTCCAGCAGCAGCAGGAGGAGCTCAGGTGCAACTCAAAGATGGAGTGGACTGCCGTGGAATGCAAGTCCCAAAAGTGACGTCAGTGGTTGGTTGGTGAAATCCAATGACCACTTTGAAAGCCTGATAGCACCAACGCCCCCCAAATGACCCCTTTTTGGAAAGTAGATACAACAAACGAGATCTGCAAAATACTGACCATGCTTCTTATCAAATTCCTTGGGGTGTCTACTTTCCAAAAAAAGGTCATGGGGGGGGGGGGGGTGGTGGTGCTATCCTGGCATTTCAGGGCCTCAGAAACTGTGATAGGTAGTCAGGAAGTGTAAATGAGGAAATAAAGCCCTTTAAAAGCCTAAAGGTGCTCATTGGATTTTGGGGTCCTGTACTTGGCTAGACTGCCAAAAAGTCTCTTACATGTACTACATACTAGGGAGAAGTAGCAGAATGTATTTTGGGGAGTAATTCCACATATACCCATGGCATGTGTGAGCAATAAATCCTTTAAGTGACAACTTTGTGTAAAAAAATTTTTTTGTTTTTATCATTTTCCAAAAACTTGTGGTAAAAAAATAAATTCTTCTATTGCCTCAAAATGCTTCTCAGCAAATAGTTTTGGGTGTCTACTTTCCAAAAAGGGGTCATTTTGTGGAGTGGGGGAATTTTATGCCCAGCATTAGACGTTTATGGCACACATCACTCACTCTTCTAATCACCTGAAGACCAAGCCTTTTTCTGACACTTTTTGTTCACATGAAAAAAATCTGTATTTTTTGCTAGGAAATTACTTTGAACCCCGAAACATTATATATTTTTTTTAAAGCAGACAGCCTAGTGAATAAAATGGTGGGTATGTGAAAAAGAAAAAAAAAACCTACACCCAAAAAAAGCAATACAAAAATAAATGACAGTAACTAAATGAATGTGTGAATAAATGTAGTGAACTGCTGCTACTCTTTCCTTGAACACCAGAAAATATAAAAAACATATATAAATTGAGTGCGCTGTACACTAAACAATCAAATGCAATATCTGAACACAATAAATCCAAAAACATTAATTAATTACTAATATAACAAATAGTGTGTTGCTAAAATACTACAAACAGTCCAAATCTATAAAAGTGAATAAACATCCCAGAGGACGCCAGTTTTGGAGAAACGCGTCAGCTGAGCTTTCTGTGACAAGTGCAATACTTTACAAAATTTTTTCCGAGTTTATCAGGTTGCACTATGAAGTTTCTTCTGTTTTAAATCCTTCCTTGCATGGTGTGGAGAGCTGGTTGGTGTGAGGAAATCATCAGGGTGAACCTGCAGTTGTTCATTCATCTCCTTTGATGCTCTTTACATAGGTGTCAGTGTGGGAGCTGAACACTGTCAGCTCGTTTGATCTCTTGATTGGAGATCAATGTGTAAGAGGCTGATTTGTCTGTTGTGGCTAGCACTTGTAGACACCAATACACTTTTGTTGGAAGTTTTTTCAGTCCACAGCACTTTGTCACTGGATTTGGGACTTTTATGTTAATTCACTTTGTGGATTTGGACTGTTTATAGTATTTTAGCAACACACTATTTGTTATATTTGTTTATATTAGCAATTCATTAATTTATGTTTTTGCATTTATTGTGTTCAGATATTGCATGTGATTGTTTAGTGTACAGCACATTCAATTTATATATGAATAAAATGGTGGGTGCAGCATTTTTTTATGTCACATAGTACTTCCGCAGTGATTTTTCAAATGCAAATTTAAAAAAACAAAATACGTTGTTTACTTTTAATGCACAAAAACACAATATATTGGCCAATTATTTAGTAAAATATAAAAGATGATGGTATGCCGAGCAAATAGATACCAAACATGACATACTTTAAAACTGTGCATGCCTTGTGCAAAGGCGACAAACTGCATACATTTTTAATATCCATAGGCAACACTTTAACAAGCTACCATTTTAGAATTAGAGAGGAGGTCTAGTGCTAGAATTACTGCCCTTGATCTGACGTTTGCGGCGATACCTTGCACGCATGGTGCAACTGCAGTTTACATACTGGTACGGGGTCAACACTCACACACGCAGTGCGCACGGGCAAGGGTGCTTTTTTTTTTTTTTTTAGTTATTTTGATTTTTTTTATTATTTTTACACTGTCCCTTTCATTTTTTTTTATCACTGTTAATGCTATCACAGGAAATGCAAATATCCCCTATAACAGGGGTCCTCAAACTTTTTAAACAGGGGGCCAGTTCACTGTCCCTCAGACCGTTGGAGGGACAGTGCTCGCAGAGAAGTGGAAGGACAAACAGGAAGTTTTCATCCTATGAATGGAATGGAAGATAGGATGAAAACTTCCTGTTTGTCCTTCCACTTCTCTGCGAGCAATTTCTCATTTCTCAAGCAGGCTTTTTCCTCCTTTTCTAAGATCTTTTTCCTCCTTTCTAACAGGTCGGTGCTGCAGCTGAATGGCATTCCTGCAAGAAAAATAGCAATGGTTAACAAAACCGTAACAATAAAACAGTAAAATTGTAACAGTAGAACTGTAACAACGACAACAACAAAAAATCTGTAACTATTTTTCATTTTTGAAATGTTTAATTTTTTAGGGATTTGTATTTTTTTTGATTTTTTTTTTTTTTTTTACTTTTTTTTTAAACTTTAAACTTTTTAAAACAGATTGTAGGGTCTCTCAAAATGTGATAGCCAGTTTCCTGACTACCTAACATCTTTCGAGATCCTGTGTAAATATGTGCCCTGAACTGTGCTGTGCTGTACCCTATACTAATACTCCACTAGTGTGTGGTAGTGACGGAAGCAGTCCTTGAGGCAGAGACAAGGTTGGCCAAGACAGGAGGGACAAAAAAAGTAGGTGTCACGCATATTTCCATGTCTGCTACAGACACAACATCTTTTTGGGGGTGTCCTTTGGGTTGAGGTACCAGGTATGGCATCTGTAAAATGCATCTGGCTAACTACATCTGGGTTGGGTGTTTGGGCCACAGCACCTTCTGGATACAAAAGGGCCGTGATTATCTCTTCCGGGATTTTAGGAAGGATCCACTTTGTCCAGTTGCTGTCAAGGTCCTACCTTTTCCCTGAGGTTTTGTTACTCCATCTGCTGGCGTCCATCTTGGATTCTGCTGTGCATGGTGGGAATCCTTTTATGCCTTCAGGTCTCTGAGGTCCATCCCCCAGAGGGGTGTGGCTGATGACATATAAGCCTGTGGCCCGCACATGCTCTTTGCACTTGTGTCTTGTGTCTTTGTCTTGCTACAGCTCTGTGTATATGCTCGTGACTCTTCTGGTATTCTGATTCGGCTTGTGATTAAGACCATTCTCTGTGTTTTCCTTCGATCTGACCTTCCGTTGCTGAACCCGGCCCGTGCCCTGTGAATCACTGTCTACTGTACTGTACCGTTTTGTCCCGTTGTTGTCGACCCAGCTTGCCTGACTACGCTATTGTCATTCTCACCAGCTACACGCCATTGGCGGCGGCCATTACCGCAGCCGGGGTGTCTCGGGGGCCGTGACCTGGTACCTGGCTGCGTCAAGTCCATCCCCACCATCAGGGGCCCTGGTGAAGGGCAGCCTGGGACTTAGACTCCGCGCCCTGAGGGACTTCGGTCTGTTGGTGGTGGTTGTCGTCAGCCAGTGCTTTACCCTGCCACTAGGCCTACCTGTCTGTTCCACAGCCCCGCCCTGACAGTTGCTTTGTAAAGCACAAACCCATTATATAGAGCCAATTGAAATAAATAAACAGACACTTTTTTGTACCAGCATCTGGCTTTTCGGGAAACAGCTTCATCATCTGGTCGTTGAAGTCCACCCCTCCTATGTTAAGGTTATAGTCATGGACACAGAGGGGCTTCTGAACAACACCACAAATGGCAATTTGGATGGTCGTGTTCGCGTGAATGGAAGATAGGATGAAAACTTCCTGTTTGTCCTTCCACTTCTCTGCGAGCAATTTCTCATTTCTCAAGCAGGCTTTTTCCTCCTTTCTAAGATGGGTATTTACAAGCCGTTGGGGAAGCTCTGGCGATTAGGTCACACGTTGCCAATTCCAAGATTGTACAAATGTCTAAATCAGTGGCTCTCAACCTTTCTAATGCCGCGACCCCTTAATACAGTTCCTCATGTTGTGGTGACCCCCAACCATAAAATTATTTTCGTTGCTACTTCATAACAGTAATTTTGCAGTAGGAGGAGTAGTGCCACGTCATTGGTGTCAGTGGAAGGAATAGTGTCCCATCACTGATGTCAATGGGAGGAATAGTGCCCCATCATTGGTGTCAGTGGGAGGAATAGTGCCCCATCATAGGTGTCAGTGGGGGGAATAGTGCCCCATCATTGGTGTCAGTGGGAGGAATAGTGCCCCATCATTGGTGTCAGTGGGAGGAATAGTGCCCCATCATAGGTGTCAGTGGGGGGAATAGTGCCCCATCATTGGTGTCAGTGGGAGGAATAGTGCCCCATCATTGGTGTCAGTGGAGGAATAGTGCCCCATCATTGGTGTCAGTGGGAGGAATAGTGCCCCATCATTGGTGTCAGTGGGAGGAATAGTGCCCCATCATTGGTGTCAGTGGGAGGAATAGTGCCCCATCATTGGTGTCAGTGGGAGGAATAGTGCCCCATCATCGGTGTCAGTGGGGGGAATAGTGCCCCATCATTGGTGTCAGTGGGAGTAATAGTGCCCCATCATTGGTGTCAGGGGGAGCAATAGTGCCCCATCATTGGTGTCAGTGGGAGGAATAGTGCCCCATCATTGGTGTCAGTGAGAGGAATAGTGTCCCATCATAGGTGTCAGTGGGGGGAATAGTGCCCCATCATTGGTGTCAGTGGGAGGAAGAGTGCCCCATCATTGGTGTCAGTGGGAGGAATAGTGCCCCATCATTGGTGTCAGTGGGAGGAATAGTGCCCCATCATTGGTGTCAGTGGGAGGAATAGTGCCCCATCATTGGTGTCAGTGGGAGGAATAGTGCCCCATCATAGGTGGTGTCAGTGGGGGGAATAGTGCCCCATCATTGGTGTCAGTGGGAGTAATAGTGCCCCATCATTGGTGTCAGTGGGGAGAATAGTGCCCCATCATTGGTGTCAGTGGGAGGAATAGTGCCCCATCATTGGTGTCAGTGGGAGGAATAGTGCCCCATCATTTGTATCAGGGGGAGGAATAGTGCCCCATCGTTTGTATCAGTGGGAGGAATAGTGCCCCAACATTGGTGTCAGTGGGAGGAATAGTGCCCCATCGTTGGTGTCAGTGGGAGGAATAGTGCCCCATCGTTGGTGTCAGTGGGAGGAATAGTGCCCCATCGTTTGTATCAGGGGGAGCAATAGTGCCCCAACATTGGTGTCAGTGGGAGGAATAGTGCCCCATCGTTGGTATCAGTGGGAGGAATAGTGCCCCATCATTGGTGTCAGTGGGAGGAATAGTGCCCCATCGTTGGTGTCAGTGGGGGGAGGAATAGTGCCCCATCATTGGTGTCAGTGGGGGGAGGAATAGTGCCCCATTGTTGGTGCCAGTGGGGGGGTGGAATAGTGCCCTATCGTTGGTGTCAGTGGGGGGAGGAATAGTGCCCCATCGTTGGTGTCAGTGGGGGGAGGAATAGTGCCCCATCGTTGGTGTCAGTGGGGGGAGGAATAGTGCCCCATCATTGGTATTAGTGACACCAATGATTGGGCACTATTCCTCCCACTGACGCCAATGATACTTACCTTGCTGACCCCTGCTCCAGCCTGGGCTCGCTCGCTCCCTGCCTCTCCCATGGTACAGACACTTACCGGTCAGATGTCTTCCTTCTCCGGCCGCTCTCCTCCTCTTCACTCGCTCGATCTTCGCGGTGCCGCTCGGCTCCTCCTCTCCAAGCTCCACCTCCTCGCCGGTGATTGGCCGCCTGTGTGCCTCTCCTGAGCTACAGTTCCGGCGGCCAATCACCGGCAAGGATTGATCCCGGGGGTGTGTCCAGATGACAGGGACGGTATGTCATCCCGCCCACACCTGGAGACGGATAGAGGAGCGGTGTCTCGGTTCCTAAGGCCATCGGAAATATGTGTTTTCCGATGGTCTTAGGCGACCCCTGTGAAAGTGTCGTTCGACCCCCAAAGGGGTTGCGACCCACAGGTTGAGAACCGCTGGTCTAAATAGTGGCACGCTTGAATAAAAATTGTTCACGTATAAGTGGTACCCCATATGGAAAAAGGATGACACCAAGTCCCAAACTATATTGCCACTGCTCCCTATGTAGTCTGGGCATCCGGGGGCTCCTCCACGTGACTATCTTTTCCCTCATAAATCCGAAACTTATATGTATAGCCTGTTGCCCTCTCACAGGTCTTATACATCTTGACCACATATCTGGCATGTTTGCTGGGGAGAAATTGAATGCAAGGCAGCCAGAAAAATGAATGAGGGACTCATCAACACAGATGTTTTTTCTGGGGAGTATAGACATCTGCAAATTTTTGGTTAAGGTGATTTACAAGGGGCCAAATTTTGTGGAGCAGATCAAATTCAGGGTCACCCCAAGGATGACAGAGTGTGTTGTTGTTTAACCCCCACTGGAGGGGAACACATAAAACTAGAGCAGTCTCACAGCTGGAGACTAAACACATTTTTGAGCTTGACACTCTTTACCCTGTGGGTCTCAATGTCGAGTTGGACTTAAATTGTTTTATCGCCAACAGCTAATTTCTCATTGTTATTAAAGGTTTTAGTGTTACTGGTTATATTTTTTAAGACTTTGAGTGTTAACCTTAACTATTTTACTTATGTGACAATTTCTAATTTATTAATTAATCAATTAATTGACAAATATTTTGATTGATCTCTTTTATATATTTAATTTACACATTTGGATATTGCTTTGAATTTTATTTAATACCTATATCAGGTTTTATAATTTTACTTGTTGTTTTATTTAATTATTTTGATGATTATTGAATTCCTATTTATGATGTTATTATTTGCATAGGCTCATATGATTGTATTTGCGCATGGCCGTATGAATATTAGCAGTATCGCTGAGTAAATACTGCTAGTGCGATCTCTCCGTTTGATATGTTGACTGCTAGTCACCTTGAGCTCCAGTAAAATGGCGCTTGATCGCACGCGCATGCGCCACTACACGCATGTAAGTTCGCCATGGCGTCACTGGTTCCATTCCTCTGATGATGTGCGTGCGCACGTAATGCATAATGAGGAGCCCGGACGTCATGACGCTACGCCGCTGGAGCCACGTGGAGGTCCGGCGGCCACCTTTTATATCCACAGGGTTAGTTCACACTATACCTGGATGTTATTTTACTACTTATCACGATTTGGATACTTTGAATGTTTGCAATAAAGTTCTTTTGATAATCTACTACACTATGGGCATCCTTTCCTAAACTCCCTGAGAGGAGTACTTATTTTCAGACCCAGGCACCATACCAAGAGGTGGAAGATTTCCTGTAAACAGGCAGTTCCTTCCAGCCAGCCCTTTTGAGGAAACCTCTGGTTACCTGGATCTTGTTCTTCCTCATTGCAGTTCAGTCATCACATGGAAGTGAGGATTGCCCAAGCTGACCAGACCTTTGATCAGACCTCTGATGAGGGATTTTATACAACGCTCATACCTTATTTATTTCTGGTGAGTGCGCATTTCTATCATTTTCCAAGGAGCACCACCAGTACCTACTAGTTTCTACGATCACACTTCTTAGACTTTATGGACGTTGTTTGAATTTATTTTTAGTTTTACATATGATTTTAGCGCTGCGCTTAATTTATATCATTTGATTTACTGCATATATTGGTTGCTTTGAGTGCATAGCTGCTTTTAGGATAAAGCGCTCACTACATATCTTTCTGTTTGTTTTATATGATGAATCGGATCTGTGGACCAATACAACCTCAATTAATTTTTTTTAATAATGCCCATGTTTAGGGCTAGGCCTGAAAAAACTTTGAATTCAGAAGTCATAATGGGTTTCCATGCGAATGGTCTGGCAAGGCTTGAATTTGGGTTGGCGGTGATAAACTGTTGTGCATATAAATTGCTTTGATCCACAATCAATGCATACAGATCTTCTGTGAAAAACAGCTCCAAAAAAATCAAGGGGAGTATTTAAATTTGCTGTTTCCATCTGAATTCCAGGTTGGACAGTGAATAGGGGAAGTATGAGTGCTGCAGAATTTGTGGGCTGCCAATCGGGATTTGCAAGCACATCTGGAAGGATACTACGGGCTCTACAGGCCTGTGTACGAATTCTTGGTGGCTGCGGGACACTTCTTGTGCTCGTCACCTCACCAGCTTGTACTGCACTTATGGGACTCGACATGTCACCAAGTGAGACTGCAGTGCTGGTATGTAAAAGACCAGGATGTACTAGGCCGCTGCTGCTCACCAGTTCACCAAAAGGTAGAGCAGCACTAGTACCGGCACTCTGCTACATATGAGAGTCGTAATGCAACCAGGGAATGGGGTCAGGTATGCCTGATCTTAGCAGGGACCTCTTCTCCATCATCTGAGCTGTCTGTCAAGGTGTCGCTGCTGTCTACAGGTTCGTATTCTGAGGCTGATTGTGTTAGTGAGTCTTCTCCTTTGCTCTCATCTGACATACTCAGAATCCTGTAGGCCTCTTCACTAGAGTACCTTTCCATTGACATTTTGGACACTAAATGTATAGGTACCTAGTGCGACTCACTGGAAAAAGAGCACCTGGCTGTCAGGGACTGCTTGAACCGTTACAAAATAGTTTACCAGCAAGTGCTAACAGAGATCAGTTCTGATTCTGCGAACACTGCATTTTTGTGTGCAATGTATCAAGTGACAGTGACCTACTGACACTGCAATTGCTGATGGAGAAGGGGGGGGGGGTAAGTGTAGGGGCTAAATGCAGGTGCTGGCAGGTGCCGGGGCTGATCCCGCTAATGCTGTATTTTTGGGGACACTATACTAATGTGAATGCTGGTATAGTGCTGATCTGATCAAAGATATTAATCCGTTCAGATACTATACTAGAAATGGAGGTTTAATATGTATGTAAGTGTGTTCCTGGCAATCAAGGGGTTAAATGTGATTACTGGTGTACTGAAGGGCAATCTGATGCTATCTGGGAGAGGCGCTAACTGACGCTAACGCTATCTGAAGTCGCCAGTGACACTAATACAGTGATCAGCAAAAAATCTGTACACTGAACTAATGACACTGGTGACAGGGCAGTGAGGGGGTTAACTGGGGGGGGGGTGATCAAGGGGTTAAAGGTGTCCTAAAGTGTTCTAACTGTGTAAGTGTGCTGCTTTTGCTTACTGTAATTCTTCTCTCTCTGGGACGGAATGTGCCCAGAGAGAGAAAATGTCATAATTTCCTGTTCCTGTGTAACTATAAACATAGGAACAGGAAGATTCCTGATAGGACAGGGGTCAATCATTCATCTTAGGACAACCATCACTGGCCTAAACCCCAGGCCCGCGAACACCACGGGAGCGTGAATCACGTATATACATGATTTTGCACACCTGTGCCACCCTGTAGCAGTATTTCTGCTATAGGGCAGAGCAAAAGCAGTTAAACTGGATGGACTTGTGTCAGGAATGGGCTCAGCACAGGTGGTGCTGGGGCTCACCTGCCTTGTGAGCTGCAGTACCAGTGCTGGCCAGCGGGTGCTCTCAACAGCCAGAATCTCACTCCTGCAATCAAGCCATCACCTGAGGCTGATTGCAGGAGGTGTATTTAAGCAGGACCAGGCCTGCAGTCAGTGCCTTGGTGTTTGTTCCCATGAGCCCCTGTACCTGCATCCTGTCTGATATTCCTGCCTGATATTTCTGCCTGATCTGGACTCTACTAGAACTCTGCCTGCACCGACCCCAGCTATTCCTGACCACTCTCCTGCCTGCTCCTTTGTACCTTGCCTGCCCGATAGTTACTGACCCGGCCTGCCTGACTACGTTTGTGTTCCCGCACATACTGGGATCTGTTGGAGGTTTGGTTCTTGCACTGTGTGTTTGGGTGTACTGTGTAGCTTTTATTAAATTATATTGTTTTACACCATACTTGAAGCCTGCGTTTCCCTGTGTCAATCCACACATCTCTGGTCATACCTGGAGCCCTGACAGAACACCAAGGCCAATCCTGACCAGAAGTGGCTGCACAGGGAAGCCATCTTGGCTTGTTGGGGAAGGATGCATCTGGTGGAAGTGGTGTATTTGTCTCTGCTAGCAATAGAAGACAGAGTATTGCTGTCAGCGTCTGAAGAAGTATGCCATGGATCAGCTGCTAGAGTGCATGCAAGTTGCTCATTCCCTAGTAGATCAGGGCACAGAGTTTTCTGAGGTGCAGCCGTTGATCCATGCTTGTGCTGAATTGGCTTTATCTAGTACCCCTGAAAGCAGGGATGACTTTTTTCCACCATTTAATGCAGATCAATTAGAGTCACTGGTATGGTTGTTGGAGGATGATCCAGATTGCTTCTGTGAGCATTATTCA